CATTTGACAAGCGTTACATGGACGTTGTGCTATTACTGTCATCAGTCTTGCTTTTGTCAGTCAGGGCTGTTTTCCCCGTTTCCCTCCCCGCCTCTCTCACCCTGCCGGAGGGGCTCATGCCGTCTGTCAGTTGGGCCGCTATTCACAAATTTACTGTGTAATTCAGCCGGATGCTTACACAGAGATTTTAAACACAATGACGTGTGGCATAACTCAATTTTACAGCCGCCAGCCTCAGTCTGTCACCTCGCGCGGAAGGAAAGTGTGAATATAAAGTGTTCTCCACGCTGACACATTCATAACCACTTCAGATTTTAAAAGCTGTTGAAAAAGACGTGATTTAACAGATACTCCAGTATTCAGCTTATGCAACCGTTTCTATTCCTATTACCATCGCTCTCTGTGGCTCGCCGTCGCTGAAACAGTGCGGTGATCATTGTAATTGAACAGTCAGCCGCAGGGATCCTTCTTTACGGAGAGAAATCTACTCTCTTGTTTTGTTCGTGTGCAGTGGGAGGTTTTGCATGTGAAAGCCATACTCAGTGGAGACGACCTGGATAGGTGCAGTGGCTACCTGTCATATTTTTGCAAAATTAAACATTAAACAAGAGAATCTTTTATTGTATTATCTGAAACTATAAGGTCAAACTCTTAATCTGAGTACAATCATTCAGTGAGTTAATCAAAAGGTTCACTTAACACCATCCTATTCTGCCAATAGGCCAACATTTAGTCGTCAGAGTATAAAGACAGAGGGATTCAGTGTTTACAATCACTCTAGAGTCCTTATTTTGCTGCTGTCTCCTCTGCAGCTCAGCCTAAAGGTTTTCTGGAGGATGTATGTCTGGGAGCTGAGATGGTCATTGAAGAAGTTTGTTTTTCTGTCTGGTCCAAACATTCCCCCGCTCATTTGACCGTATTTTTGGATCATGAAGAATCCCAGAGGCGTTTATTTAAAATGTCCGGATAGAGACCACAAGGCTATGAACTCCAATAAGACTGGCTTATTCAAAGAGAAATATTCTTGCGGCACTAAAGGTCTTTCTTCATGCTTGACAGTAGTCATTTGGTGTCTCAGTCTTGGTCCCATGTGACTAAAGTCACAGAAGAGTTTAGCAAGCCTGACATGTTCATGTTTCTGATTGTTGGACAGAACAGGCTTTTCATGGCATCACAGTTCAGCATCTCATGTTTGTTGTGGAGATTTGGTGACACCCATCAGCATTTCTGTACCATTGTATTTATACCTTGAATTAGAAGAGAATTTGATCCTTTACATTTACTTTAGAGTCTGTTAGGAGTGCTCACGGATACAAACGCCCAAAATGAGTTTCCAGCCTGTCTGTTTCCACAAAGTTGGAAGCATGGAGTTATCCAAAAGCTCTTGGTTTGTTGAAGTTGGAGCTAAGATCATGACCCCTCTGCACCAAACTTCCCACTCGACATGAGGTAGAAAGGCAATTTGCTTTTTCTTCTGGCAGCTGCCAACCCAGACCTGTGCATTGACTGGCTAGACTGAAAGGAGTGAATTCGGACTCAGGTCCAACAGTGGTGTGCAACATTTTTGCTTTGCCTTTAGTGACGTACGACTTGGGTGCAGCTTCTTAGCCATTGAAAACCAATCTGTCACACTGCTCAAGCTACTGACCGCACACCACTGTCCGCTAAACACATCGGCGTCTGCTGACTCTGCTGTGTGATTTTGCGTGGCCTAGCAATTTGTGGCTGAATTGCTTTCAATCTAATCACTTCCACTTTATGATAAGACCAATAACAGCCGAAAGTGGAGCATTTACTAGCAAGGAAATTTCCAAGTGGGACTTGTTGCAAAGTCAGCATGGCATCACGCTGGTATTCAGCGAGCTCCTGAGATCGACAAATGTCCGCAGAAGCCGTGCCTTGGTTCTGAATTTTTAAATATGTAAATATGTGCATTGACTGGATCACCTGAATTCCTGAATGGGATGGGTGAGTGTACGACGAGTATATTTACACCCTTTGCTCCCTGCCAGGTGTTGGACCTGTTTAGATTTAAAAGTGGCATCGGGTTGAGCGAACTGAGTAACAAAAAACAGATACTCATCAGGGTTTAAGCTAACATGCATTATGAGCTGTAATGCCTCGGTGCCGAGCACCTGCATCTAAAATCCACTCAAAGCTAAGCAGCTAAACCTCATGTGGTCAGCGTGATTACACTAATGCGATTATCCCCTGCTTTTCTATCCTGCCTGGATTAAAATATTGGACAGTTTAGGGGAGAGAAGTATATTTTGGGACCTGAGTGATTCAAGAGATTAGCAGCTTCTGTCTCGCTAGAATTTGGTCTGCACACAGAGTGTGACATGCATGATTGCAGAAAGTGTGCCTTTAAAAAAAAAAAAAAGAAAAGAAAAAAAAAAAAGCATACAAAGTCATGACATCGACTGGGTTTTTTCACATTTTCTTTTAAAGGCATAGTGGTCTTGTGTCCACTATGTCAGAAGTTTAGCGTATGTAAACCTCTGACTTTGAAGAATGTAACAAATACATCAAATAGAAATATTTATGCTAATATTTCTATTTGAGAAATATTAGAGAAACCTTATTTTGAATTAATGTCACACAGTGAGTAAAAATGGCTGAATAAACATCTGGTTTGAACTGCATGTGAAGTGAATATCCTACAGTTCTTATTATCAGCAGGTTTTCCCTTTTTTCAGATGCATGGAAGCAAACAGACTGAAGTGCTCTCCGCTAACCGAACTGCTTCCCGCTTGCCGCACCTGGTGCTGGGCGGCGAGCTGCTCTCCAGTCTCATCTCCGCTGCCTCGAACCAGCTGGGCACAAACCTGCTGATTGTCGACCCGGGACGCGTTTAAAGGGAGGTGACAGTGCACTGAATTCTAGGTATCACAAAAGCGCGATGGGGTAATACCTATATTCCAAGCCCAGCGGGCCGAGCCGCAGCACTTACCATTTAATAGGGAACAGCATGCGGGGAGCACTGGGCTTATTCATCCTCCAGCAGCTTTCAGGCGAACACGCGGCACTCTGCTGGGAGCGCGAGCAAACCAGTCAGCTGTGAGGCCGGCCCGGCCGCGGACACAATAACAACACCGGGTTACTTTGGCTGCAGGCGCACTTCTGTGCTCTATCGTGTGTTTAGTCATGTGTGCTACATGCATCTACCCTTGACACCTGAGACCGACTTGTGTTTGCTTCACCATGGCCCAGTGGTTACATTTCCAAATACAAACTGCTGCTGGCCTGCCTCCTGTTAAGGTTATGCGCACCAGGTTAAGCTGTTTACATGGTTTTCTAACTGCCGACCTCGTGTCTGCATGAATAAACTGACTGAGAAATATCCTCTACTCTTTTTTTTTTTTTCTTCTTCTCCTCTTGGTCCAAAACAAACCTGCAATCTGGCAATATGAATTTCACATGACAGCTGGATGCAAACACACACGGTGACAGGGAAGCATATCGGAAAGCTTCGTTTTCCAACCAGCCGATTACTGATCAGGGCTCGAGGGACAAAACGGATGCGTTTACTTTTAAAAATGTACATTTAATTAATCAATTCCAGTGCATTCACACCAAATGCGTTATGCGCATTAAAAAATGCATCTGATGCTTCGAGTTTGACGCGTGTGCATTTTGGTGCGCTCTGAACGCACCGAAACACGTTCTGAACGTCAGGCACTTCTGGTTTATATTCAAGGTCCATTTGGAGCGTTGGATCCTCAAAACGCTCTAAATGGTCCAAATCACGCCGTGGTAGACGCTCGAAACACGCCACGACGGGCCCTCGATGCGCCTCCACATGGACTTTAGATGTAAACCAGATGTGCCTGACGCTCAAAGCGCGCTTCATGTGAACGTACCATTACTAATCTGAGGTGCGAAATTTCTGTTCCTCCTACGTTGTCATGGTAGCAGCTTTGTCAAAGATAGTGACTTTTCAGACATTTGACTTTTATTGACTTTGCAGCTTAGACCACATGGAGAAACCTCCATGTAAGTATTAATGCAAGAATGAAGAGTAATTAGCGCCAGTTTCCAATTTATGTCACTAATGGTAATACAATTCTCATTTCGTTCCAAGATATAGGGTTATTTTGTTAGTCATTTGAAAATCAAAACAGTACGGACACATCCTTAACGTCTTCGTCCTGCTGTCATCGCCTGATTGTTCTATCGCCCCCCATCTGCCCGCTGCTCTCTTGTCAGACATCACCTTATCTGAGACCGAGCTGTGCAGAGGAGAACAGTATCGCCTATGACACATGAGATATATAAAATAAAATCAGCTTGTCACATTTTCTCTTCTGCCTCAGACAGAAGATTTGCCACCATAAGGATTTGTCTTCGTATCTAAGGGAGATATGAGTCTTGTCAGGGGCCCTGTAAGGTTACAGCATACCATTATCACATCAGCGATATGACAGAGAAATCTAATTTCCCAGTCAAATTGATTTCATCTAACAAAAAAAAAAGGTGCGTGTGTATTACACTACATGTTGGTAGAGCAGTTTATCATCCCTTCTTCTCTGTCATTTATCTTTTAACTCTTTATTTCGCCACTCTCGAATGTTTTTCGCTTCATGTCTGAGCTGGAAGTTGTCGTGTTGAGGCAGTTCTCTCCCTCTCTCTCCTAGGCCCGTTCCCGCTTCCTCTGAGGCTATTAGCATGGATAAAGAACCCAGAAAAAAAATCCTGCAGCACCATGACTTATGAGACATAATCCTCCACTTATGCATTGACAAGACATCCCAGACACACAAAGCACATCCTTTTTTTTTTTAACAACCCGCATAATCTAAAAGGATAAAGAAAATGGGACTGGAGATTCGAAAAGGCTTTTATCCACACTCCTGTTTTCCCTCCGCAGACTGCAGCATCCAGATCTTTGATATTGGTAGAAATGGATTACCTTCTTATCAGATTAAGTGCAGGTCCCACTAAGTTCCACCTTCTGTGTGATTACGAGGCTTCGACGCGGTAAATCATACCAGACAGAGGGGGTTCCACAAAGTTTTACTTCATGAATTTCCTGAAGGCATCTCCGACCGTTTGGTAAACGCAAAGGTTGGGTTGAATCACCTTCTGTTGCACCTAAAAGCCTCGAGTTGCTTTAATGGGTGCGGTTGTGTCCTACAAAAAAAAAAGAAGAAGATAGAATATCATAAAAAGCAGTTCACTCCAGCTTCATAAACTGAGGCTGAATTTTCATTTTGACAGCTCCCCTACCTCAGAGGATCTGACAGGTTCTTGGATCTTAAAAGTCCTGATGCTGTCTGTTCTCATGTTTCTCATTCTCTTACACATCACCGCTAAATTCTCCCTGAGCTGACAAAGAACAGGGCTGAAAAGAGATCAAGTCGTAGAGAGAAAAAGAGACGGAGAGAGATGCAGTGGTGGGTATACACAAAGACTGGAAATGTGAATGTAGGAGACCTTATTCATTGACATGGTTGTATTTTCACCTTAAAAGCTCAATTCTTCAAAAACCACTCTATTGTATTCAAGTAGGACTCTTTGCTTTTTCTGTGTAACAGAGGAACATCCTGTAAGAGAGGAAGTGGCTGACATACAAAGGAGGGTTTGCTCCTGTTAGAAAGCCACAAAACATCTCAGCCACAGCAGCGTCATTGTGTTGGTTTACAACAGCAGGGATTGATGCGAATGCTGGTTTTGAAACAGAATTCAAGCTGCCGACGTCTCCTGGTAAAGATGACTGAGCAGAACTGGAGAGTGTAGCGTGAATGGAGTTTGTGAAGTTACACAGTCAAAACTACACAGCAGTAAATTGGGTTATTTAGCCTGTCATGAGAGGAAAATAATGGGATTTAATTTTTCAGTCATTTTCACCACATAAACGTCACAGTTTCAAACAAAAATAATTGTTTAATTAGCTTGCTAAGTAGTTACAACCTTAATATGTAGCTCCAAGCTAAATATTTAAATTACAAAATAAATACTTTATTTGAAGCTAAATATTTAGCTTCCAAACTACAAATTTAGCTCTAAGCTAAATATTTAGCTGGAAGGTAAATACCTAGCTAGTATGACAAGTAGAGAATCAAAATAAAAAGTGAGTTTTGTGAACCTCTATATAAACACAAAAACATATTTTCTGAACTAAATATTTAGCTAACTAAATATTTAGCCTCAATCTATAAATGTAGCTTGCTAACTAAATATTTAGTTTGGAGCTACTTAGTTTGTAAACTACATAATTAGCTTGGTTGCTAACTAAATATTTAGTCTCAGTCTACAATATTTAGCTAGCTAGCTAAATATTGAGCCTCTGGCTAAATATTTTTGTCTGGAGCTTTTCTGTTTGTGAACTTAATATTTAGTTGGCTAATTAAACATTTAGTTTGAGACTGTGACATTTGATTGAATTACACGATGAAAGCATGACTTTGTTCTTTTATGACAGGCTAAATCATCCAGATTATTGCTGTTCCTTCTTTTGACTGTGTAACTTTGCTAACGGCTCCCCATAGATTAGGGATGAAGGAAGAAGAAAAACCTGTAGGAGATCAACTTCCATCTACAACAGAAATATATTAAAATTTCAGTTTTATTTACACTGCACGTGTAAATGTCAAATCACATCTCTACTCACAGCACCCCCGGCAAATCATCTTAACCTTTTTCTCTTCCTTCCTGACTCAAGTTGTTTGATAAAATCCAATTGTTCGAGGGCAAAAGCTGTCGCACATTTGTTGTAGAGCAAATGATGTTGAGAATTAGACATGCTTATGTGCGACAAAGAGACTTTAAAACTCACTCTCTGCAGCTAACAGTCAACAAGTATCGGTCTGTCAGTCACGTAAAAAGCAAGCAACAATTTTCAACAGTTGGCTTCGACGTTATTGTGTTAACTTGAAAATTTGACAACTTGCTAATGTGAACCACAATTAATCTGCTAAGGAATATTCTCTTTCAGCAAGCTGTCGTGTGAAATGTGTAAAAAAAAATAAAAAAAAAAAAGAGGAAGAGAAACAGTCAGGCAGCTGCTGCCCACTCCACTCATTACTAAATAAGACTTTTAGATGGTGTGAAGCAAACATCAAGACTATTTTAGCTGCTAATCATTGAGACTTCAGACCTGTGGTAACACGTTTTACTCATCTATTAGAGCCGAGAGAGGAAAACAACAGGCTTCAAAGCTGCAATTTAATCTAGACTCATTCTTGTATTAATGTAGGGATGAATGAATAAATGATGCAAAGCAAAACAGGAAGGAATAAACAAAACACTACACTTCATAGCAGGGGCGAAAAAAAACCACAGGAAACAACTCACTAAAATGTAAATGGAGAAAGAAAAAAAAAAAGACATGCTGAGGCAAAAGTTCATTTCGGTTTTGCTCGACGCCATATATATTTCCTCCGACACATCTCGGCGACATTAAAGCAGCTGAAAGCAGTCGGCGTTTCGTTCGGATAACCCGTCCTGAGCGGCAATAGTTTTCACGGCGTCTGAGCAGAGCTGCACGCATGCAAGCAAACACAGCCTTGCCCTCGGAAGCCGATTAATAAGAGTACAGCCCGCGGCGCTTACCACTACTCCATTATTCAGTTTGATTATCTGGAGGAAATGATAGAATATTAGCGCTTCTAATGACTTTGGCATTCCCACGTGCATTTCGGGATGGCGGGGACGATTTTAATCATCACGCTTGTGTTGTTAGCCTGGCCCGCAATCTGCGCCGCATATTAATGCGGTGGGTTGCAAACTGTACACAAACAAAGGTTAATGGGCCTCATAAGCAGGAAAAGAGCAACGTGGGGACACGGGCAAATTAAAATACTTGATTAATATACTGACACTTCAGAGGAGCTGGGAATGTCCTAGTGGACTTCTGACATATTTAGATGGGGAAATTATCCGGTCCCGAGCAGGGAAATAAGCCATGCTGATGCGCAGATTCTTTGTGATTCTCGTCGTTTCCGTCTTCTAAAGACAATGGATTGATGTTTTTTTTTGTCTCTCTCTCTGGTTTTACCTCGTGTCTTTCTCACAGTGGTTATTTTGTAAGTGAGGCTTGTAAATTCAATATCTTCCAGCAGAGACAGAGTGGATCGATTTTACAGCTGTTGATATACTGTATAATAGTCTCACTGTCTGCAGGGTTCAGAGCTTTGTGCAAACTGCAGAATCATCAAATTTGGTTGATGCGTTTATTTCAAAGAGAGACTGCCTCCGCATTTATGTCGGCGTCGGGTCGGGTCGGTTCTGCGCGTACAGTCGGAAAGCGACAATCGGTAATCTGATCGGCCGTGCTCTCTGTTAGAAGGAGCATTTCCTGTCCCTGTGAAAACCTGGAGTTTTTGGCCTGACTGTTAGCTGGGAGTCAGACTGCCAGGAGGAGACTCTGGGGCAGAACCACTGGGGTTGGCAGTGAACAGCTCCATCAGACAGGGTTTTATGTCTTCCCCTGTGCTAGAGATTGGAAAACCCTCATGCAAGTTTAGCAAAATTTTTGCATCCCACATAAATAAAAACAATAATTCCCACCTTGCTTGGATTCACTCTGGGACCTCCATTGCTTTCTGAATGTTGCTGAAATGAATCATGACATTTTTATTTTCTTTCTTTTTCTTTTTTTGTTTTTGTTTTGGAAAACCTCCTTTTAGGACGAAGGCGATCGTCACACTGCTGTGCTCTTTAGTAATCATAAAAAAAGTATGCAGTTTTTACAGCTATTTTCCCACTATGCTCTATGACGTTACATTTATTCTTTTATTCTCTACATGCTGTGTGTTTACATGGGATGTTCCTGCAGCTGTACCATCAGCTTCAGTCTTCTTCGTGGTTTTCGCCAGTAACATCCGCCTGTTG